ATCTTATATGCATAGTAAACTGACCAATTCCTGCAAGGCGCATAAAATAGACCAATCAATTATTATTATTATTATTATTATTTTACTATATTAATAATCAATCAATTATTGTGGCCCAGCCAATTATTTTTGGCAGAAGCATAAAACCAAGGCCAGAAATGACATATACAAAGAGAATAACACTTCACAGCAGGGGTTGTTATAATTCCTGAAAATCCTAAAAACTGGAAGTACAATTAATAAAATAAACTTTTCTCACCTGAAGTGGCAGGGGGTCATTGCTGTTTTTGAAATCATACTCAAAAACAATGGCAGCCAGTACTTTGTGAGACCTGTAGTCATACTTAATATAGTTATCGAAATCAGTTTCTGAAGGGAAGCCTCGAACTGCAGAGAGAGAAAATTGTTACTATGAATTAAAATATCTGATAATCCATCCTATCCAAATATCATAAATTTCAAAATATTGGCTTTATGACTAATGGATATTTGAGGTACAAAACAATTTTACATGAATTGTAAACAATTTTAAATAATCATTATAAAACCTATATATAAAGATGGGAGATTAGTCATGACAGAAATGTAAATAAAAATTTACTATGTGATATAAAATTACAATTGCCACACTTCACACCCAGGAAGATGGCTATTATCAAAAGCCACATGAGGTTGCAGTGATGTCACCAAAGTGGTAAAGTAAGAAGCACCATGATCCCATTTCCTCACAGAAACATCAACAAACAAGCAAAAACTTTAAGAAATAAACTTGGCAGAATTCTGGAAAACCATCAGAGGTATATATCAATCAAGTGAATGTACAATCAAGAAAAAGGCACTTCAAGTGGTAGGAGAGTTTTATGGCTTGTTGTTACTGTCCCAGGCTCCACTCCCACCCCAGTTTGAAGTGGCAGTTCACATTTATCTTGGAACCCTGGTGTCTGCTTCCACAAGTACCAAAGCAGACCTCATTCACAAATTATTGTGTCTTTCTGTTCTAATTTTAGATCTCTAAAGAACTGAAGCAAAGCATTTGTCTGTGTTTCATCCATCTTAGAAGTCACGTAAGGCTGAGAAATGGCAGGCATAGTGTGAAACACTATAAGGAAAACTAAAAGTCTGTAGCCACTTGAGGCCAAAAAAGAGCAAATGAGACATTTAATAAAATGCTTAAAGCCAAAGAAAAATACCAGACAGAGAAAGTTCCTTTGGAAACCTGTAACATTCAATAGTGCCTGTATTTACCATGGAATCTCATAAGTAACAAAGACTCCAAGTAGGGAAAAACACATGCTGATAAAGGCCTCATAAAATTTCTAGTTTTCACCTTGTGCTGATCCCCAGAACACAGCCAATCTGCAAAGACTGCAAGAGGTGGGCTTTTCCACCTATTTTTCCTTTGTTTCTTTTTTCTTTTTTTTCTCTTTAACTCTTAGCAATCAAGGATATTTATATCAGAACACCAGTTGAACACAGGACAATGGCACAGAGACTTCAGTGAACACACAAATTAAGGAATTCAGTCTTTGCAAAAATATTTTGAAAAAGTCACTAAGCCAATGGATAATTTCTTCCATCCACAAGTAATAAACTACTATAATCTCCAACAACCAAAACAAAACAAAACTAGTAAACCTTGAGGGAACTTTTGTGTATTAAGGGTCACCATCAAGAGGGGCTAGGAGACAAGATGACAGCCTGGTGGCACACCTTACCCAATCCCTCTACAAAAAAGACCCAAAAAACCAAGTGAAACAGATACAGAATATAATCCAGGAACGTCAAATAAGGGAATAAAGAATTGGCGTAAATACTGATTGGAAAGAGAGACAGAAGGAAAACAGTGACTGAGGAAAGAGACGGAGAAGGACCTGAGGCAGCACTGTTACAGAAGACACATATGCAGATGAGGAGAAACCAATTTCACAGAAATTCATTGGGAGAAAGACACAGTGTGGTCAGATTTGGCATGAAACAAGGTGAGTGGAATATGAACTGAGTTTGGGAGAAGAAAGTATAGGGTAGTGGGCCAAGAATTCAGCATCATGGGAGGGCAAAAAACAAGGAAGAAGCCAGTAGTAAATGGAGATGAAAAAACTCACTACTAGTGAGCCCCAGTTATTTGGGTTGAGGGCTCAGAGGGGAAAACAAGTGGGATCATGGTTGGAAATGCTGGACTCCAGATGGCCCCTCTTGATTGAGTTGCACCAGGAACTAGGTAATTGGCTGTGCCCACAGAGAAGTGCACTAGACCTATGGCAGTACCAGTGACCAGAGAAGTACATTTTCTCATCCTCCCCACTATAACTTTTCCGTGACCAGAGGTGAGGGCCCCCCACCCCCAGCAATTCAGTGGTAGGGAAGACCCCCTGCCACCCTCCACCTGTCCAGCTTGCTCAGACCACTTCCCCCAATCAGCGGCCACCCGCTGCACTATGCCTACAGCAGACCGAGCTGCATACCGGCAGAATGCACTCTGTATGCCCAACACCCATGTAATTGACAAGGCATGCTCACATGGAACATGAGCTGTGGGCAGCCTCCACTGTCACAGGTGCAGTGATTCACTGACTGAGTGCCAGGCTCTTGCAGCCCCCATGAGCACATGCTCCTGAGGATCATGTAATAGCCACCTGCTACCATGTGTTTACTGCCATGGGCAATCACTGCTGCACCGCACATTTTTTTTTCCCCTTGTTTTCTCTTCTTCATTTTTCTGTTTTCCACTTAATCCTTTATATTCATTTATTTTCTTCCTCTTCCTTTTTATTTTACCCACTCTTTCTCATTTTGCCCTTTTTTCCCCCTCTGCCTCTCTGGTGGGAGATGGGTATTATATCCCCATTTATCACCCACCCCTTCCACCTACTACCCCACCCAAAGGGGACTGCCTCAACCCACTCCTGCCCCACTGGATCAATGAAAGAAGGTAGACAACATCTGCTCAAACTGCCCACAGATGTTCTTCACAATCAGCAGACAGAGACCTGTACCCATACTTCTACCACTTATTCCACACACCCAGAGATAGGTGGGGACTGTCCCAGAGCTGCCTAACTAGCAATCAATGTAGCATGCCCACCTCACTCACCAGGATATATCAAAATGAGGCAAGACAAACAAACCAACACATAATCAATAAACACAACTTTAAAATGTCTTGGAGACAACAGACAACTTCATATCAAACAAGGAAATGGTACTAGATGGTGCTAACAAGTGACAAAAATAAATAATCAGGAAACTTCCCTGAGGAAGAGCAGTTAACAGAACCACATGATAAGGAATTCAACACACACACACACACACACACACACACACAGCCTTCCAAGACCTCAAGGAAATCACAAACAAAATCAAGGGCAACACATACAATGCCCTAGAAGAATTCAGGAAAACAATACAAGAGCAAAATGATATGATGAATACACAATTAGAAACAATACAAAAACAATTAGATATCCAGAAGATTAACACTAAAATTTCAGAGATTGATAACACACTGGAAAGGCAAAAGACCAGAACTGAGTCAACTGAAGAATATAAAAACAAAACAAAACAAGAAAACACAAACTCACTGCCATCAAGTTGATTGCAATTCATAGCAACGCCTCCTTGGGTTTCTGAGGCAGTATTTCTATGGAAGCAGATTGCCCAAACTTCCTTCTAAGGAGTGGCTAGTGGATTTGAACCACCAGCCTTCTCATTAGTAGTCAAATGCCTTAGGCGCTATGCCTCTCAAGAATATATCCGTGAATTAAAAGACAAATCCTGTGACACCAATTTTTATGAGGAAAACTCTGAAGAAAGAATGAAGAAAAATTATTAAAGCCTAATAATTATGTGGGACACTATCAAGAGGACAACTTTACATTTGATTAGAATTCCAGAAGAGGAAAATGCAAACAATAAAGCACTGAGAAAACTGTCAAAGATTTGCTAGCAGAACATTTCCCTAATACCATGAAAGATGAAAAACCATCCACCAAAGAAGCTCAATGAACTCCATACTAGATAGACCCCTAAATAAAATCACCAAGTCACAGCATAATCAAAATTTCCAGAACCAAAGACAAAAAAAGAATCTTGACAGCTTGGTAAAAACAATATGTGACCTACAAAGGGGAACCAATAACTCTAAGCTGTGATTTCTTGGCAGAAGTCATGTAGGCATAAGACAATGGAATGACATACATAAAACTCTGAAAGTAAAAAAAAAAAAAATGCCAAACAAGAACTATATATATAGAAAAATAGTTTCTCAAATACAATGGTGAAGTCAGGACACTGCCAGATAAACAGAATTAAGGGAATTTGCAAAACACACAAACAAAAAGCAAACATCTTGTAAGAAATACTAAAGGGAATCTTTTGGACAGAGGACCAACAATGGCAGACAACAACTTGAGATTAAGATATATTACAACATCATGTGGAAACCAAACTAGAGAAAGATCCTCAAAAATAAACTTACAAAACTGAAAACTGAAAATTAGAGGCATTAATCTGTAAACAACAACTACAAAGCAAAAATGAGGGAATGAATGGAATAATCTAAAAACTTCCAAATGGAAAGGATATCAGGACGATATGAAAACAGACCATTTAAAACTTAGGAAGATAAAAATAAGTATAGGATAACCACAATGAAAATTAGTAAACCTTCTAACTAACATAAAAAGAACAAAATTATAAGGAACAAGGAAACACAAAATCAACAACAATGAAGAAAATGAAAAGAAAATCTGATGACAAAATGAACTCAGCTCAGAAAAATATACAGAAGAAGAAATCATCAATAACACAATAAAAACCACAAAAGAATGGCAGCAGTAAATTCATACCTATTATTGACTATACTGAATGTAAACTGATTAAATGCATCTCAGTCAAAAGAAAGAGAGTGGCAGAATAGATAAGAAAACAATGCCTATCAATATGTTGCCTACCTTAGACATGAAGATGAAAATAAATTAAAAATCAAAAGATTCAAGAAATATTTCAAGCAACTGCAACCAAGAAAGAGAAGGAAAGGCAATATTAATTTCTGATAAAAAAGACATCAAGGCAAAAACCACCATAGGGACAAGACAGAGCAATATATAATGATTAAAGAGTTGATCAAGTTAAGAGGACATAAATATAATACCTATGCATCCAATGAAAAAGCCCCACACACATAAGTAAAACTTTAACAGAACTGAAGAAAGAAACAGACAACAGCAATTTAACACACCACTCTCAATCTAGGACAGAACAACTAGAAACTCAACAAAAACACAGAAGACCAAAACAACACAATCAACCAATACGACCTTAGAGACATAAACAAAATAGAATACACAAGAAACATTCTTCTGAATAGACCATATAGTAGGCCACAAAGC